GGAAACCTTCTGATCGGGGACCGAGGGTGGCGATGGTTCAGTTGATGAAAGAGAAAGATAAGGCAAACATTCTGCAACAAGCAAAGAAGCTTAAAGGATCTAATATTTATATAAATGAAGATTACACTGAGTCTGTGAGGAAGAGAAGAAGGGAGTTGATGCCGAGGTTAAGGGAGGCCAGGGCGAGGAGAGACATGGCGTTCCTGAGGTTCATATGGGCATCGGGTGAAAACCTACAGCAACTCTCTGGACAGGTTTCACAGGAACTTGAGAAGATAAAGAAATGGTGTGACAGTAATATAGTATCTCTGAATTTGGATAAAACTAAATTTATGGTATTTGGGAATCGTAGACTAGATAATGAACTTCAATTGAAAATTGGGGGAGCTAATATAGAACGAGTATATGAAATTAAATTTCTAGGTGTCATAGTTGATGACAAATTCTCCTGGAAATCTCATATCAGATATGTTCAGAACAAAATAGCAAAAAATATATCGATATTGGCAAGGGTTAGATATATTTTGGACGGGAAAGCACTACGCATTTTGTATTCTTCATTGATTTTACCATACTTAGAGTATGGCGTTGAAAACTGGGGAAATACATACAAAAGCTCACTTCAACCATTATATATATTACAAAAAAGAGCGATAAGAAGTGTGCATAAGATGGGATATAGGGATCACACCAATGCAGCTTTCATACAGTCTAAATTGCTAAAATTTTTCGATTTAGTGGGATATAAGACTGCAGTGTTTATGTATAAAGCCAGGAACAATTTATTACCTGGTGGAATTCAAAAACTATTTAATGAAAGGGAAGGGGGATACAATTTAAGGGGTCAGTTAAATTTAAAAATTCATGCTATACGTACAACCAAAAAAAGATTTTGTATTTCCATAAGTGGGGTAAAACTATGGAATAATTTAAGTGTAGACATAAAAAATAGTAATAGAATTGATGAGTTTAAACATAAATATAAAGGTATGTGTCAATCAAGATATATGCAAGAACAGGCTTAATGATTAATTAGATGGAACATTGTGGGTGTGGTGTATGAATGTTAACACTTTGTAATAATTCTTTAGTATATTACTTGTGTGGTGTAGAAGATAATTATTTAAGAATGTGATTATGTAAGAATGTTAACACTCTTATAATTCTTTAGTATATTACTTGTGTGGTGTAGAAGAGAATTATCTATGTAGAGATACTGTTTGCAAACCAATGATGGTAAGATGATGTCATGGGGTAGGACTGGATAAGTCTGACTTCTTCCTACTCCATTCAACCATGTACTAGGTATAAGCAAATTGATATTGGATTAGCATTTGTTGGATATGTGTAAAATTATGTGTGTTGACATATCAACTGTCTTTACATGCTTGAAAGAATAAATCAAATCAAAAAAATCAAAAATCAACTGCGGAGCTGTCCGCGGCTGCAGGTGCTGAAATACATCGTTCATCAGATCTTGTCGAAATTGTTGACAGAAGAGTATACTGTTCGGTTCATACATCCAAAGATAATATGTTACTGTATGTTGTAAAGTCATGAACAATTTTGAATTAAATAAGTGACAAAATCAGGACGCCAGGATGCATAATTGTGCAAACCATATTCGGTTTAGTTGAGCTGTCCCTGGAAAATGCTTTTGCTTCAGTGGTTTTTCTAAGTAACTCTACTTTAGTTAAGCAGGGGTGAAAAAAGTTTTCTTGTCATTTAAAAAGTACTAATGCTGGTGATACAAATACCTGAGGAAGGATGATTAATGAGAGAGGAAACACAAAATACCAGAAGTGAAACATTGGAAAATTCTATCTCGTTGGGTCTTGAACGGTTATTCAAATCAAATCTAGTGAGAGGTTTCTTTGAGAAACAACTCTAGACCTAATTTGGGAAGGAGCCCCCAATGCTTTACTGCCTTTCTGTAAGAGGCCACAAGCCAGAAATATTGGGAATTACTGGTTTAATGCATTGTATTATTCCTTCTATATTCTCAAATCATCTTTTAATAGCCACTGATTTTTTTTTCATATTCTGAGATTTATATTTAGCATTTTTATTGTTGCATGATGATTTTGACAACCCACTGGGCCCCACAGGGCTCCAGCATAAAGGTAAAGAAAACTACAGACATCATAGTGTCTTCCAGGCCTGGTGTAATTACAATGTCCCCACAGTGTCACTCTCTCTCTCCTCGTATTTACCTTCTGTCTATTGTGTGAAACATACTGTATATTATTATGTAGGCTGCCTATGTGCTGTCTATATGTACAGTCATTTGCATGTTCTACAGTAATGCTGCTTACACTGCTATAGTGAGAATATTCCAGCACCACCTGTCAGCATGGAAAGCTTGTGTGTGGGTATTTCTGTGGCTGTCTGGACAAATTTTAGTTTGACACCATCGTTGTGAGGACATTTTAGCCAGTTGAGGTTAGGGTATGGGGCTAGGGAATGCATTATATTAGTGAAAGTCCTCAAAACTACTGTATAGAAAGATCTGACTTTGTGTGTGTGTGTGGGAGGGGGGCATAAGCAGACACACTCACATTGTGAGGATTTGACCTCTCTTATGGGGACCAGTGCTGGTCCTCACCATATAAATCATTGAATTTTAGGGTGATGACTTAGTTTAAGGTTAGTAATGGTAAATGGTCTTATACTTGTATAGCGCCTTTCTACGCTTTTACAGCACACTCAAAGTGCTTTCATATTATTCGGCCATTCACCCGTTCGCACTCCCAAGCACTCACGCATTCGCGGTGACATCACCGGGAGCAACTTGGCAATGTGCTGTGGCAATGAGTTGCCCTATATCTGTGGTAATACACTACAATGTGTGTTTAGGTGGAGGGTCAGCCTCAGTAGGCGGGGTGAAGCTCTTTGCCTTTGCAAGTCCCTTTTATCTTGTCCTGTTCTGTCCTGGACATCTGTCTCTGCTGAGCTCAGGACCATCACCGGTTGAAGAACTTCTCTTCAGACTGCCACAGATCGGCTCTAGATTCCAGCTGGTGACTGTTGGACCTTCAAACGTGCTAAAATGTCACTGTCTCGTTCCTTGTCCATGACATCTCTGAGCGGGGTGCTGCCGGCCTGGGAGGACGATGAGCTGCCTGTGGAGGACCTGCTGCTCTTTGAAGTGGCCTGGGAGGTCACAAACAAAGGTCTAGTCACAAATTTATGACTTCTGATATTAGTTTATTGATTTGTTAATTTCCAAAAGAAATCAGATGCATGTTCATCCAGCTGCAGAAGGCCCTCCAAAGCAATGTCAAGTTATACAATGCAAATATTGCATTTTTAGGTTTTGTAATATTTATTACACAGGCACTCTGTTAATTTCAAGTGTTTGAAACCAGCCTGCATTTTGGATCATGCTCAGCCAGAATGAGGTGAAAAGGTTAAAAGATTTTAACAGTAAAGTTAAGCAAGACGTATTGGATAACAATACTAAAGAAAAATATTCTGCACTGAGTTTTTTAATAGAAGTTCTACATGAAATAAGGCCACTAATGCTGAAAGGCTAGCATTTTAAAAGTGGACTATATTTGGTGTATTTTCTGTCACTCTTTGTCCTTCAAAGAGCAAATATTGAACTCTAGTGAGAGTGGCGTCCCTCTGAGGAGTTAAACATTAAACTGCAGATAAGTCATGAAAGTGCAGCGACTGCTGTGGCTGTTTCATTCTCCTGAGGCTAACGTGTGTCATTCATAGAATTAAAAGCTCAAATGTGAGAGAATGAATTTGATGGTGAACAAAACTGGCTGAATATGGTCTTGTATGTCCATCATGGACATACAATAAGCTTTCATTCAGTGACAAATGTTGGAGGAGGTTATGCCACATGTTGATTTAATAAATATAGACTTAATACATTTTCAGAAAGTCTGATCTTATATTCTGTAGATGTCCTTTCAATTTAAACCAGTTACACAACTATCTTCGACCACATCTAACTGTCTTCTTCAGCAAATGGAACTACTATCCAAACTGAATAACCATCATATAGCCTGATTTTGAATTGTGGCTCACGAGGTAGGGCAGTCGTCTCCTGACCAGCAAGTTGGTGGTTCTACTCCCGGTCTCCCCCGCATGCTTAAGTGTCCCTGAGCAAGACACTGAACCCCGAATTGCTCCCGCTGGCTTGATTAACGCCGTTGTGTGGCAGCTGTTTCATCGGTGTGTGAATGAATGGGTGAATGGTGGTATGATCTCCCTGTAAAGTGCTTTGGCCAGTGCAAAAAAGCGCTATATAAATACAGTCCATTTACCATTTAGTTGAAGGAAGAATGTGTGAGGTGATCTGTAAACTGCCTTAGAGATTTGTTCAGGCCATTCATAGGTGGAGATGGCAGTGAAGCTGACAGAGGATGGAGTTTTTGTGTGGAAGGATTTAGGTTAGATTGAAATTAAGTATTGTATTTTATTTAGAATATTGTAAAAATATATTTGTAGACTTCTGTAATTTGCTGTCATTTTTTAGTAGTTAGTAATGAGTAGTCTCACATGATTAAATGATAGATAGTAAAAAGAGAGAGAGAGAGAAGAGCTGTGTTATTCATTTAAAACAGATGGAAATAGCAGATTGTGTTGGTTGATTTTGCCTGTTATGATCAGTTAAGCCTGCAGTACGGTCAGGGACAGGATCATTGGCACTACCAAGGACACCAAGGTCATGTCCTGTGTATTTTCGAAGATATAGAGGCTTTTGTAACTATTACATTAAATTTAGGTAGACATATTATGCGCACATACTCTGCCAAGCTGATGGTCAGTGATGTCAGGAGCTTTTTCTTTGAGATGTAGGTTTGGCCACTAGCATATACCTCCTGCAGTGTAGGAGGAGAGGGGGTGTTATGTAACATTTTTTATTATTGTAATTTTAAATGTATTATTTATTTATTTAGACAACTTTTGACATGGCTCAGAGGTGGTCAGAGACATTACATTTAATTAACAAAATTAACTGAAACATGTAATATACTATTTTCCCATCAACTTTGTTTTATAGGACCTGCTTTCCTTTTTTCCATTCACATATTTTTGATTATATTTCCATAAAAAAAGTTCTAGTCACCTTTTAAGTGTCTAGAAATAATATTCTATCTATCTATCTGTCTGTCTGTCTGTCTGTCTATCTGTTTATCTATCTATCTATCTGTCTATTTGTCTGTCTGTCTATCTATCTATCTATCTGTATATACAGTATGTGGTTAAACACATACACACACACACAATCAGGGCCAAAAATATTGGCATCCCTGCATTTCTGTCACAATGCACCATTTCACTCAGAAAATTGTTATAATCACAATTTTTTTTGGTATTTGGTACAAAATTATTGACACCTTTTCAAAATCAGTAGAAATAGTTGCATTCCAAGCAGGTGATGCTCCTTTAATTTGTAATAACAACAACAGGTGCTGGCAACATAGAAATCACACATGTAGCCAGTTAAAATGGAGAAAAGTTGACTCAACCTTTGTGTGGTGTGGACCACACTGAGCATGGAGAAAAGAAAGAAGAGCAAAGAAATGTCTGAGGATTTGAGAACCACAATAATAGAAAAACCAGATTGGAGTTTGCCTAAACTTACCTGAGGAAGCCACAGTCCACCTGGGAGAATGTCCTGTGGACAGATGAGACTAAAACAGAGCTTTTTAGTCGAACACATCATTCTACTGTTATTAGAAAATGAAATGAGGCTGTTAAAGAAAAGAACATGGTCCCTACAGTCAAACACAGTGGAGGTTCACTGATGTTTTGGGGTTTCTCTGCTGCTTCAGACACTGGATGTCTTGACTGGGTGTTTGGCTTTATGAAATACTGATGAATTCTGGTGCACATAAATTCTGGGGCCCATTGTTAGAAAGTATGGTCTCCATCAGATGTCAATGGTCTTACAGCAGGACAATGACCCAAAGCAGACTTCAAAAAGCACCAGAAATGGTTTCTGACAATGAGCCGGAGAGTTCTGAAGTGGCCAACAATGAGTTCAGATCTAAATCTCATAGAGCAGCTGTGGAGAGATCTCAAAACAACAGCTGGGAGAAGGAACCTTTCAACTCAGACCTGGAAGAAGAGTGGTCCAAAATTCCAGTAGAGAGGTGGAAGAAACTCACTGATGGTTATAGGAAGTGACTGATTTCAGTTATTTTGTCCAAAGGGTGTGCTACCAAATGTTAAGTTGAGGGTGTCAGTAATTCTGTCCAGACCATTTTTGGAGTTCTGTGTGAAATGGATCAGATTTGGCTTTTTCTCTCTGCTTTTTTTGTGTTGGTCCAGTGCAAACAAAAGAAATAAACCTGAGCATACCAAAGAATTTATGATTTCCTTGGAAAAAGTGGTGCGTTACCACTTTGCAGGGGTGTCAATATTTTTGGCCATGTATGTATGTCTAACTAGAAATAATAAAAGTTTATGGTCTTACCTTTACTTGTGCACGAAATCCATTTGTCAGCTGGTATGTATTACAAACCCTTTTACCGTTCGAATCCAATATTAAAACAAATGTTTTCAATAAAGAAGATCCTTCTGGACAAAAATGTCCAGACTGTAAAAAATGTTTTGATTGAAAGTCCAGATTTGCGAATTTTTTCAGTTTGAAAATGTAATCTTCCATTTTGATAAGGTGGATTGTAAAGGAAATATAAACAAGCACAAGGAAGATTGTAGGTAGCGCAAGAATCTGTGGGCTCACTAGCGCCCTCTGCCTTGAGGCAGACGTACTGTTTGCCTCACTGAGTAACTTTTTTACTGGGTTTTATGGTTAATCTGCGAGCCTAAACACGTTACAGAACTACATTTTATACATTATCCAGATTATGGCAAGGCAGAGCATATAATCAGAGTGTTTGAAAGCATTTTATCTGCGATATATAGAGGGACAGCGACACACTATTTGCATCGCATACAGTTTGTGAGGATTACACGATCCACCGAGAGGCACAGCAAAGTGCTGCCTCATCGCGCATCTCCTCCATGTATTTGAACGGGACATACAGAAATTCTGCTATTCTTTATTGGAAAAAAATCCTTCAACATTGGATTCGAATGGCAAAAGGGCCTACAACACACACCAGCCGACAAATACTAACATTTATTATATTTTATGGTTAACTTTTTTTTCTTTTCAAGATTGACAGGGGAGGCTCTGCCTCACCTGCCTCCCCTGACCGCACGTCACTGGTATGTGTATATATACTGTGTGTGTGTGTGTGTGTGTGTATAGGTGTGTGAGCAGTTACACATTGTACTAACCAAATCAAGTAAAAAAACAAACAAACAAAATAGCTAAAAAAAAAACAAAACTATTATCTACAATGAAGGACTCATAACATTAAAATATAACAAGATCCTAAAATTATAAAGTCAATAAATAATATTATACCTTGTGTTTTATATGCTGTAATTATATTTTATTTTTATGATATAACAGATGTTAACACCTTTGTGCACTTTGAAAAAGACAACACAATACCTGTAAATGTTAAGTACTGTATTTTGACAGTAGAGGGAAACGTTGTATCATTCTGTTCGCCAGGGACACTGGCCAGATAACATACACACCACAACATATCATCAACACATCATCTTTGACCTGTCTGTCAGTTTTATCAAGTTGACTTCATATCAGCCTCACACTTTTAGGAATAATACGTAGCTGCTTTGTTGAACAAGAAATATTGTATGTCATTCTTTCCATCAAGCTTTGACTTGACACAGAGTTTTTAGAGTTTCTATGTTTCTAATCCAGTATGTGGTCATGTTGCCAAACAGTTCAGAGGTTACTGAATAACTCTGCCTTCACCTCTTGTATAACCACTGTTCACTCATGCAGTTTCGACATCATTATGGGCTCAGTGACTGTTAATGCTCTTTCATATCAATATAATCCTTTCATTGCCAAGGGAGAGACTGGCAAAACATTTCCACATGTTTGAATCTATTACAAAATGGAAATGTTTGCCTGTGTTTGTTTGTCACAAACCACATGAAATGCTGCAGTATCAGCCTGCAGATCCATTTGAACACTTACCATTAATATTTTGCATGCAAACATTGAGTAAACATTTGCATTTGATCCAAAAATTCAAATGTAGCTTGTTTATATGCAGAATAAGCAGAGATTGATAAGTGAGTTAAGGCAGCACAGTGGATACTGTTGTTGCTTCACAGCAAGAAGGTTCTGGGTTTGAGCCCAGGGCCTTTCTGTGCTTGCATGTTCTCCCTGCGCCTGCCTCTCCAGGTACTCTGGCTTCCTCTCACAGTCCAAAGACATGCATCTTAGGTTTATTGGTGGCTCTAAATTGCTTGTGGGAGTGAGTGTCTGTCTCTAAGTGTTAACCCTGTGATTGACTGGTGACCTGTCCAAGGTGTACTCTGCCTCTTACCCATCTGAGAGACTCCAGTCCCCTCATGACCCTCTTCAGGATAAGCAGCATAGATAATGGTTGGATGAGTACGAAGCTTGCTGGTGCAACGCTACGTTTCACATGAGAAAGTGTTCCACAACAGCCTGCACATTTGATGTAGTGACTCCATGGTGTAATGGTTAATAGTCTGAACTTTGAATCTAGTCATCTGAGTTCAAATCTCAGTAAGACCAGCTTTTCAGAGAAAAAAGAGGTTAAAAATGTACAGCAGTGGTTATCTATGTGTCAACCCTGTGATAGGCTGGTGACCTACCTAGGGTGTATCTTGCCCAATGTCAGCTGGGATTGGCTCCATGACCCTATTCAGGAATAAGTAGTATAGATAAGTGAGTTAACATTTTGATGGGAGTAGCTGTAAAATTAGGAATTTAAAAGAAAGCACCAAG